AGATGTTTAGACTATGCTCTTAGTTGTTTCCAACTGTTTTGAGAACTTTTGTGAAGCGTAGAAGTGTTTTGAGTATGGTTTTGCATGTCCGCAAATGTCCCGAGAACATTTGTGAACCTTGGAGAACGTTCGTCACTTTGGCTCAAGTGTGCGGCGAAAAGTGTGCGTGCTTTTTCCTCCGTTTTCGACTCGGGTCGTTGAGACACTTGACTGACTAGGTGTTTTGAGCACGAGATCATTTGGTACTTACCGCTCTATCCGGCACTGTCGTGAACATCTCCATGAGTGTCGCCAAATTTGATAGATTTGAAGACCTCGAAGACCATGTGGTCGACTACCTTGCCTCAGTGACTGACCTGAAGGTCTTTGGATGTACTATCGACTTCTTGCAAGCCGACACGCAAACCTGTTTAGAAAATCTAATCTGGGAAAAATTGCGACAAAGCACAGAGTACACCATGGTGTTTCGTAGCTGCTGCGAAGTCCTTCCCTCAAAGGAGATCTTTGAAGGGTGTCCATTCCGAGACATTCCACTCGCAGTCCACGTCCCCATGAATCCGGAGGAAATGGTTCCTGATGGCGCTTTCACAGCGGTGCCGCGTCTGCGTCACGTCAGCATAGAAGCAGGCATCAGGGTTGTGGGTGCAGAGGCATGGCAGTGTTGTCGACAGCTACGGATAGTTAGGATGCCAGCTTCGGTGGTAAGAATAGCAGACAACACATTCCGAGGTTGCCAGCTGCTCAACAGTGTTACAGCGCCTGGCTGTGTGGAGTTTGGCTATAAAGCCTTTGCTGAATGCAGCTCCGGGTCTATGCTATTGAAGGAGTGGCGAATCAATTCTGTAGTTCCACCAAGTTTGGGCACTATCTCTTTCGAGATTGCATCAACTTAGCCACCTTTGTCCTGCAAGAGGCTGCTCATCAACAAGAGTTGCCAGCTCGAATGAATGCCAGGGAGCTGTCACAAGGATGTCTCAGCTCCACTGGGATAGGTACACTTGAGCTTACGCGGGACTTCCAAGTGCTGGGAGCGCATGCCTGTGACAACTGTCAATTGCTGAAGAAAGTCGACCTTTCGAACACAAAGATCGAAGAAATCTAGGAATTTACATTTGTGCACTGCACTAGCCTTTGTGAAGTCAGACTGCCATACACGCTCCATACCATAAGAGTAAAAGCCTTCATGAACTGTGCTGCACTGCCAGAACTAGTCATACCGCCCTCACTGCACTACATTGCCAGTAGAGCCTTTCTGGACTGCACCGCACTCCGTAGGCTTGTCAAACTCCCAGGCCAGCATAAATGGAGGGGAATATATGCAGAAGAAAATGCTTTTGCCATTTGCCCAGCCATGAGATGGCCGCCGTGGTTGCACATGATCCCTGACAGTGGTTGCGTGCCCGGCTTAGCGTAAGGCATACTTCTCCTTACCCGGATGGGAGCCTTAGCTCTTCGTCCATGGTAGGCGGGTGGTAGCAGGGCGGTTGATGGATGGCGCCCAGGGAGAACCTCAGTTGCCACAGCCAATCTTGTACAAAGATGGCATAAGTACCATGCTAGGATAGGTCTCTGTTTCACCTGTTTCACATGGGCCATGCATGTTGAAGGATAGTGACCTCAATGCTCACTTTCTGATGGAAGAGTGAACACCCCCTGTAACCCCTTTGGCTAACGCGTGGGAGCCATTGGGTGTGTGTTGTGCCTCCCTTGTGGGAGGGAAATCAGCACGTTGTTAGCAGTCCTTTCGTTGCGATGCCTTCCACTGCCACACTCAAGATAAGCCTCTGCTTTTCGTACGCGCAATCAGTAGTATGGATTGTGCCACGGAGAGGGAATTTTCCACGGCTTGCCATGCCTTGCAACTGATGACTCTTTGGCATTTGTCATCGGTCAACTGCTGACTTTGCTCTCGGTACCTCGTATGATGTCAAAATACTTCGAGTGCCAACCAGCAAACGTGGCTTGGATGACCTCATCCTTGCCAATGGAGTGAGGCCACATTTGATTGGCCGATCAGAGCAACCACCCACGATCAGAAACATTTTGCCTTTCGTAGTGAATTCAGGCCCTTAGATATTTTGCAGCTCGTCTATTTCACCTGTCTCACTTCCGTACAGAGGAAACACTGCCCGCATTGGTTGGGGGTCTTTGGTTGTGGCCTTTGTTTTCTGTTTGGCGTTGGGTTTTGGGGTTTTGTTGGTGTTTTGGTGTTGGCGTTTTTGGTTTGCTTTCCCCCATCAATATGCAGTGTTTCCTATCCTTCTACGATGACCTGGGCACACCGCCCACATGGCGTCCGCACTCGTGGAAAAAAAGTGTCTGTGTTATCCCTTGCGGTGTCCCTAGATGCCGTCTTGGGGGTCCGCCCTTCTTGAGCTTTCACTGAAGCAGTAGCCCCAGCTGCTGTCTTTGGTCTCGTGCCCTTTTCGTCACGATGTTGGACAAAGAGCCCTCAAGCTATCTATGATGATCTCGTTTTGTCCTTTGGTGAACAGGGACTGCTCAAACAGCATTTAGGTCCCCGTAAGGACATGTCGCATTCGTGGAGCAAGGAGGGCACTGGACGGAACAGAGCCAACATCATTGACTGGGACTCTGACTGCTTTCGGGATGTCTCTACAAGCGCAGTTTTGAAGCCCTCCTTGGAATGGAAAACTTCAAAACAATCTCGAAACAGGATGGTGGCTGTTCTCCTGCAGAACTTTTTTTTTTGCAGGAGTCGAGGCGCTATGTGTGCAGGTTATGCACAAGTCCCCTTAAGCTAGTAAAAGAAAGAGAAGTGAACCGGCCAGCAAACCGAAACCGAAGCAACCAAACAAGCCCCTCAAAACCAAGCAAAAAAAAACCACCAAACGCTGGCACGGTTCGTATCTCAGGATGGCTGAGTCAGCCTGAAGAGCGAACATGCAGAAGATGACTTGAGATGATGAGAGAATTCAAGGCCCGAGTGGTTGAGTGCCAACGCAAGTTTCACCATCTTTTCACCCCCATGCACAGATCGAAACTCTGGATGGTCTGGGTTTGTGTCTTTTGTTGGTGGTGGTTTTTTTTGTTGTTTTGTGTGTGTGGTTGCCTCGCTGCCTCAATAGAGTTTTCCCTTCTAGAATGATGACCTGTGCACACCGCATCTTTTTTTGCACGGGTCGAGGCGCTGTGTGTGCAGAGGATGCACAAGTCACCTTAGGCTAGGAAAAGAGAGAGAGAGAGAGAGAGAGCCGAACCAAGCAGCAGATGACCTGTGCACACCGCACACATGGCGTCCGTACTCGTGCAAAAAAAACACGCAGAAAATGCATGGTCAGCTTGTGCTGTTTTTGAAAGAGTCGCTGGCTTCCAGAGTCAGAATGCCAGCTCTGCCAAGGATCTCTCGCTTGGATCAAAAGTCGGAGAAGTCTGACATGCACACGGGTCCGTGCTCAAAACAGGTGCGTTTGGCAGAAGGAACCAAAGAAGAGCCAGACACGACACTGTGTGATCTTGACCTTCTGCGCCGTGAGGTCGAGGGCTGACTTGAGGCTTAAAAAAAAAGCATCCAAGCGTTTGTCTCAAGACATGGGCGCTTGTCAAGCTTGTCCTAAGGATGCGTCAAAGATGGACGCAACCAGGTTCATGTCTGACGGATGCAAATTTCGTGAAAGTTTGACACACAAACTTACGAAAAGAAAACTCTCAGCATGAAAAATTGTGAAAAGTGTGGGTGCGCCTGTACAGTGTGTGGATCACCTAGTGCCTGTCTGCAGTGCAACTTTTTGTTTATCTGTCCTTGCAGTTGGACTGAGTGGGGATCTTCCTTTGTGGAGCCCTGCAGAGCTGTACAGCTGTGTTGGGTAGAGAACAGCTTGGGAGTGTTTCGAGATGCTTTCTTGTTCTTTTAATGTGTTTTGGACGACTGCGACCAGTCAGACCTCTTCACAAGAAGAGTTGAAGAACTTCGATGCAGCCAAGCCGACAGGGATGTTCAGCTCAAAGAGCGGGATCCAAAAAGGGGACGCTTGCGCTTCCGTGTTTTCACATGGTACCGGAGCTCCGAGGATCCTGAGGGTGAGGGGCAGACGCTAGAAGAACTGTTTGCAAACAGTTCTTTGCGCCGGCTTGAGAGCCATGGAGAATGCGACTCCCACAAGTCCAGCTGTGAAACCTGAGAACACTCCTCACAACGTTTTCTCATGCTTCGACTTTAGAACAATTGTTGTGCAAACTTTGGAGGGGAAGATTCGACTGAAGTTTCTTGGATTGATGCGTGGGTCGATGGTGGGCACCTTGACGATCCCTTCAAAGAGTTGGGGTGCGGAACAATCGGACACGCCAGGCTCTTGCACCTGCTTGCATTCGGACTGGGATTACATCAGATGACACAAACACCGTGGCCAAGATACTGTGCGAAGGAAACCTGGATTGGCAATCGCAATCTGTCATTGACACCGTCAAGTCGTTGCAAGAAGTGACCAGGACAAATGTCTTGAGCAAACACTCCATGCTAACTAATTGCACCAATGTCAATCAACATGCATGTAAATCAACCTAAAGCAGTCATGAAAATCCTGGGGCACACCTTCCAACACCTGTGTTTTGGTTCTTTGGTCTCCTTTCGGCTCCTTGGCCTTATTTGGTTTTGTCGTCATCTGGCTTGGTCTGGCTGGTCACTTGGTTGCCTGGTTCTGGTGCGAGGAGGCGACGGCGATTGTCTTGGAGAAGTGTGGCGGAGGAGGTGCCGTTCCAACGCAACGCACCTTGTGTGAGTTCTGGGTGCACTTGAAGATCGAAGGTGGTGGGGTCGCATTTTTTCGAGCAGCGCCGACAGTGCCGACATTGGAATTTAGAGGTGGCCTATGTAAATGTAGCATCCTTTGTAGGCCGCCCGAGCTTGATATTTGGATGAAAAAGGTGCCATTCCAATGTGACAACTTTTTGTGGAAATAGAGAGGAGAGAGGTGCCATTTCAAACAACGACGACGACGACGACG